GCCGTAATGTTTTAATGGCTACTTTTCAATGGAGTTTATGTCACTTCTTTGCTTCCAAAGAATTGAGCGTCAGCGTTAATGTAGTGGATGGCAGACAACTCAAAACAAGGGATCGAATGTCAAGATGAACCATATAAAGCATCTTTCGTTTTCTTAGGTGCCAAAAGTTGCCTAACGAGATGAGGTTGTCAGGATTTTGCATGCCTCCTTTCGACTCTAAAGCAAGTTTACGAGGAAGAATGATATTCTCACTACACATACGGCTGCTAATCGTGCAGTAGAGTTAGCCATATCATTTAAAGCAAAACTGTCACACAGAAAGTTACGTTGACAACAAACCCTAACCGTCCAACATAATCCTAGGGAAAGAAAGTTGACATCTTTCTGCTGTGCCTTATGACAAACGTATACAGAGGATAAAATATCGAATCATGGCAGTGGTACGTGTGACTCTGTGTGGGAGGAGTGATGATCTGTCGTATATACATTATGCGTATTAACGAACAAGCGAAATGAAACGAATTTAAATATATATTTGCATTGTGGTAACTTATAGAAATGGCGGGAAATGGACTGTTGTACATTATATACAATATCAGCATATATACCGTATACATACGATAATTCAATATCAGCACATAACTGATGAAACCTTGGAAGACCAACGGTACGCTGAAATTTGTTCCTTGACTCTAAATGGTGTGGTGGCATTGAAGGCCTTAGCTGATGAGTAGGTTTTTCCAGTAGGATGAAGTAGGCACCGCATATTCACACAGTATAATTAAAGCTGTCGCAATGGCAAATGAAATGATTTGCCTGGCATCGTTCAGTGATTTCCCCAAGAGTGCATGCAGACCCCCCTTCAGATAATTTTCCCGCATGTGCCAAAAGATAAACAAACAGAGTCTTGTATTGGACATATCTGAAGGCATTGTGTATTACCTACGCATTTGTCGAGCGGTGTTCCGACCGGACGGAATCCGTCTGAACAGTTGCAAAAGTAACTTCCGGGAATATTGCAGCACGTTGAATGCTCCGGGCATAGCTTACCGTCCGCGTCTGCCTCGCATTCGTTTATGTCTATTCATACAAGAGGTTAGACAAACTAACATTTTATAAATATGTTCCGTACCTGTGCAGTTGTGACCGTCGCCCTTGAAACCGGGCAAGCAGGTACAGTGATAAGAGTTGAAGGTGTTGGAGCATTGAGCGAGCCAATGGCACGGTTTATCAACACACTCGTTCGTATCTAAAACAAAACAAAATCCTATCAGAACAACTTTTGGAATACAGCAAGGTCTCGGTTATCCGACCTGGAGTAGTTTAGGATAATAGAGAAGACTAAGAGTTAATATTAAGTCAATTCATGAATGAATTTTTATCAAATTTCGAAAGAAAACAAAGACCGATGTTTAACATGATAGGCACTTTGCAAAAATATTATTTTACATCATGTAAGTCTGTAAATGAAAGAATTTATTCTGAAAAAAAGAGTAATTGATAATACTGTAATCGTCATTTTTAGCATGGCTTCACCTTCATATGATCTTTATAAAACTTCAAGTTTTTGTTTCGTTGAATCAAACACCTTCGACTTTTCATTTAACAAGTTAACGGAGGCATGAAAATTTTACGAGAAATTAGTCACTGTCACCGGCAAGCTTAAACACAAAACTGCTTTGGTGTAACGAAAACACACTGAAGCAACTGAGTACGTTAAACGTAGAAATTGTGTGATGAGTTAATGACTTCATTCCGCTGCGCGCTGAGGTAACCATTGAAAAAATGGACATTCTTCTGCCAATAAGACATGATGGATAAAACGGAATGTCGGATAATTAAAGGTTGAACATTCAGAACTCAAACCTCGACTGTCCTAACTCGATTCCATTCCTCAGAAGGACGGATTTGCCAATAGAACAAACTTTTGAATTGGTTGACTGCATCATGGTGACATTGTGAATACAAGGTTTAAATTGCTAGGGCTCAGCAACTTAAAGAAGGACAGCGTATTGCCCTAGCCAAGAATATCGAAGTTTCAATTCATAACCCAGCACGCGCCCAGTAAAACATGAAAAACCTGCAGCAATGCCTTTCTTTTTGGTGAAGCACAGTGCGGAAAAGCAACTTTAAAATCACCATTCCGACAAACAGCAGGAGGCATCGTTAAAACTGACATTACGTTTATATCTGTGCAAGGAACGTTAGGATTCTGAAGCTTAAGATATGCCTATGCGCTGACTATGGCCGATGCTTGCCAGTGGAAAAGCCTACCTCGAAACAAATTTCAGACCTTAAGATTTTTCAGATTAAAAGGAACTTAGAAAGGTGTAAATAAGAAAATTGGTATTTACCTTGTTCGGTGCAATCGTTGCCAGAGTAGCTGCTGTCGCAGTAACACATCGAACGAAGGCCGTCCATTAAGCAGGTGCCGTGCTTTCCACATGGCGGCGAACAATCTTTAGCTAAAATATCATTCTACAGAATTGAAGTTCCTGCTTCGAAATTCACTCATTAAACATCGATGTTTTTCACATATGAAATTGTGCTACTTTCATGTAAATTCTTTAAGGTTCGCTAACGCGATTAAAATGCTGAGAATGGTAATGACGATGATGAGGATAGTCATAGTCAGATTTAAGGTCAAAATCTAGTATTTAATTCTGGTGTATTTAGGTTTCTTCCAAATATTCAGTCTTTCTAGAAAACAAGGTTTTTGAATCTAAAACAATGGACGGCAGCCATGCACATCAGCTGTTTCATCTGAAACTTCCCATATTACATATCATGGGAAAGTTTTCAGTCAACACAATACGCAACTTCTCCTTAGTTCGACAGAAACGCTGTATTTTACACAAGAAAAGAGTTTCACTGATATGTAGTGTAGGGGAAGAGATGGAATTGCTGATACAGATGACTAACGTGTAATGTTATAAATATAAATTCTTGATCACAAGATTGCAAGATGACAAAGACCATCGGTCTGCACCCAAAGAGTTTAAGCGCCAAAGCAACCCGCACCGAAGCGGACCCGACAAAACATCAAAAATCGACAGGCATTCACCCCAACAACATATCAACTTTGCAGTATACGCAGGCACTGTTGAAAAGCAAAGACGACGACATCAGCTCCTGTCCGAATTCCTTCACCCTTACCTACTGACCAATCGTGTCCATACGTAGGTCATGCAGATAAACATTGTACATTGATACGCATTAGAACAGTTTCTAAACTGAGTACAATTCACTTTTACATATGGACTGACGCACATGTAAACTGACAAACAGCAGAGTCCGAGTATCTCTGCATAACAAGTACCGGAACACGGCGCTTCCAGTTACCCAGTAAAACTGGACAGCCATAACGGAGATGACACATGTCCGATGTGCTGAGCAGATACTTCTTTGACTTAAATCGTAAGCCTTTAAACAAACCCCCGGGTCCTTGCTACCCCTACTTTCTGTTTATAAAAAAACGTTCTTTTATACAGTTTGACACAATAATCTCCGCTACACTTTCAATTCAAGCCATGAACTCGGTTCCAATAACGTCCATCATCCCTACGGTGGCAAACAGTGTGACGTATCGTACAGGTATTCTAAAGCATGAGATGCGCGATCGTTGCGGATCTTGCATCGGATCTGGTACTGG